GCAATTCTGACTTTTTTTCTCGCAATTCTGACTTTTTTCTTGCAATTCTGACTTTTTTTCTCGCAATTCTGACTTTTTTTCACAGAATGGCGTGATATAAACTCGCAATTCTATGGAAGCCCGTTTCCGCCACTGAATAAAAAATAAAAAGGTACTTGCGACTTTTTATCTCACAATTCTGACTTTTTTTCACAGAATTACGAGGTATAAACTCACAATTCAAACTTTTTTTCCCGCAATTCGGACTTTTTTTCTCACAATTGCAAGTTTATATCTCGCAATTCTGACTTTTTTTCTCGCAATTCTGACTTTTTTCTAGCAATTCTGACTTTTTTTCTCGCAATTCGAACTTTTTTTCTCACAATTCTGACTTTTTTTCTCAGAATGGCGTGATATAAACTCGCAATTCTATGGAAGCCCGTTTCCGTCACTGAATAAAATTGTGAGATATTATTGTGAGATATTAACTCGCAATCGCGAGTTAAAGTCCAATTTTGAGGGTGGGGGTGCGGTAAAAGATCATCGACTGAATTGCGAGAAAAAAAGTCGCAATTACCTCTTTTATTTTTTATTCAGTGGCGGAAACGGCCTTCCATAGGGTAGCGTCCCGAGAACCATAAAAAAATAAAATAAAATTGTGATTTAAAAAAAAATGTAATTACTTGTTGGAGGTTACAGGTTGGAGCACAAGAAACAAACGAAGAAAAAAAAAAACATTTTTGAAAAAAATATATTGTATTAATATCTTATTCTATGTCCTTTGCAGAGGACGCCAGGACTAAGTTATTCAAAATAAATAAATAAACAGACATGAAAAGGCATGTATAGGCAAAAACAACGTTTGTTAGGTTTTTTTTCATTCACCAATCAGTTTTAGGTTGCAGGCTATTTTTAACCAAACTTTGTACAAAGATGATTCTCAACTATGTTATGAAAGATATGATATGAACAGAATGATTTGATATGTGCGTAAAATATCCATAAATTAGTATTCCCATTCTATACCATGTATCTATACATTGCATCTAATTTGCATATTAATGTGTTCTTGGGGCAAACCATTATGAAAAAAATGAAGTGTAATAATGGGAGTAATAAATTGGCAACATTTTCATAAGAACAACTCAAATTTCATAGGGACGCTCATCTATAATTTCTTTCCCTATTGACTTGTTGTTTCCTCAAAATGCCTGATTAACATGATGTTTGTCCTGGTGTCCTCTACAGAAGACATGCATGAAAATTATGCCTTGCTTCATATTCCGTTTTTTTTTTCTGAGATGTTTTATTAACGACAAGCCGTTTGAAAATCAGTCAGGTTTAAATGATCATTACAAAATATTAGCATATTTCCCTAAGAGTGCTAAATTTGATAAGTCATTGTTAAAGTCCAAGGAGAAGGTGTTTATGATCACACCTCCAAACATGTGAGATATCCCTAAAAAGCCCTGAATGTGCTCTGTACAGGACACCCGGACGTACAACTGTGGCATGTGGCGTCTCAGAGAGATGCACTCAAATACAATGTCCTCTACAGAGGACAAAAGTCTATGCCAGGGTCCCTGGAGTATATGACACACAATGCAAGTCTATGCGACCCCTAGTGGCACTGTTCCAGTATTTCACTCATGACACAACATCATTAGCCAATGTTTTGTATCTACCTTGTGCCTTTTCTATCCACTGTTATAATATGTAGATATATGAACCCGAAGAGAAACATTTTTCATCCAAATTTGCATAGCGTTTTTCACAATAACCTTGTCAATCGTCTATTTTCTAGCGCCCTCTAGTGACCACAGTTGATAAATCTCTGCCCCAGCACATAAGGCAGCATTCCGCGAGTAAACAACGCATGAACTGAAAGGCTCCGTTTGCGTCCTCTGATTGGACACTGGAGCTATGAATGAAGTGTGTCGTCAGAGCCGTGCTCAAATTTGATTGGCCGCTCCGTCACGTCAATCACGCATGCACACGCCCTTTTATAATGCAGCATGGGGGGAGAGAACGTAACAAAATGAAGGCTCCGTAGCGGAATATAGTCTGAACGCCAAAGCAGATCAAACGGTTCGCGGTCATTCACGGATGGGTACGTACATGAAGTTATTCACATGCGAATGGTGGCCGGATTTGAGCTCGTTCTTCAGAAAATGCTTGTGTGAGGGTTAGCAGCACATTGCAGCAGTACGAACGCCACGTTCGCTTTGTGAGGCGGCTCAGCTCATGAAGTGAACCCTCTTATATCTCCCCCGATCACTGTCGCTACATTTTACGAACGCTGAGCGCTCAAATGTGCAGAAACGGCGGGGACTGTCGATGAAAACGGCACTGTTTACGCTAAAGCGGATGCTAAAGTAGCTTGTTAGCATGTGACTAGCATCTCATATCGACCGCGTCTCGCATATTCTGAGGCTCACAGCGCAAAACACAGTCTTTACCTCGACATTAACAGTGCAGTCTGGTGGTAAACAAACCGAAAGCTTGCAGGTTCGAGCCGTCATCACGATGTCCTTGATGCACCGCATGTCTAACAGCTGCATCGTAATACTCTTTAGTAAATGCACCGTAAAGCGAATTAACTGTCAGATGTCGTCCACCCGAGCTAGTTTACACAAAGGGTGAAGTATCTCTGAACTTTGTGTTTCATAAACATATGGATATGGTGCGGCGAAATGGTAACTCTTGGATGATACATGTTCGGGCTGTGTCTCAAAAACCTTGCTGCCTACCTATAGAGCACTTCAAGGCATCCTGTCATGGTCTAACAGTAGTGTGGCAGTGTCGAAGTGGCTGAAACACGATTTGAGAATTCATAAACTGAACACACAGATTTTAATAAGCCAGATATCTGAAGAGTAATAGTGGTAGTTATGTGCCACATGACATGAGCCCTCTTTGGACACGTGCTTTTAGCCGGAAGTCCTTTACCTCAGGAGATACTGTACCATTTATGTGTATATATATATATATAAGTATCTCAAAACGTATGTCAATAATGCAATGTTATTAAGGTTTAAGTTTGTACAACGCAGAAAGTATGAACACTTTTTCATGTAGGCTTGCCTAATGACAAATGTGCAGCTTTAGGCTAATTGTTAAGTGTTTTACTTTATGGTCAGTTTTATGGTAATCATATTTACTGGTTCTCATGTAAAACATTTATAAATACTGAATGCATATATTTAAATAAGTTTTCTATTATAGATCAGTACGTGTAAATGATCATTTATTGTGTTCATGAAAATGACAAGGTAAAACGCCCTTGCAAAACACAGACAAACTATGGTCGTAATTAGTTCTTTTTTTTGGTGTAGAGTCATTTTAATAGAGATTTTGTAGCCGATAGAAACTAAATTAATGGAGTTTGGAGCAAAAGGCATCGCTGGACCCTTATTACTGGGGCACGACCCCCAGTGAAATATTAATTATACGTACCGTATTGGCCCGAATATAAGACGACCCCCCTTCTTCCAGATGTACCTTTTGGAAAAAGGCTTTTTAAAAACCAAATCTTGTTTTTTCTCAGTAAAACACATTTTGTCGTCAGTTATTTTCATATTGCATATTTTTCCTATTTTAATTTTTGTTTTGAAAGTATGGTAAAAACTGGTAAAATGTACCAACAATCACATTTAAAAAAATATACACTTTTTGATATGCCATTTAAAAAAAAAAACAATAAAAAAAAAAACCAGGTAGCCCATCTGAATTAGGACATTTAGGCTCTCCGTCTAATAGTAGACTACCAAAATCTTATTAGCAGTAGAAGTTAAATCTTACTGTCGTCTTCAAATCTGGGTACCGTCTTACGTTTTAAAATCACAAAGAGAGTTTGGTCCCATCAGGCTAACGTGACAGTCACGACTCATGCAGCTGTAAGATTTTCTTTTTCTTTAGTTTTTACTCGCGATCTTTACAACACGCGTTACATTACATATTTCACGACACACTCGTTTCATGCGTATTTAGCGCCACCTATCGTTGTGGGTGTATTATTGACATGTCAAAAAGTCTAGACCCTGAATATAATACGACTGTGTTTTTTCAGATGTATTTCCAAGAAAAAAAACATCGTCTTATATTCGGGTCAATACGGTACTTGTCTGGCAATAGCCTTTATTGTGTATTGACCAGGGGCCGGTTGCACCACTAAGTTGTAACTTAGTGCCCATTTAAGTCAAAACTAGGCTAAGTTACAACTTAGCCTAGTTTTGACTTAAATGGGCACTAAGTTACAACTTGCGCACTACTAAATATTTTTTCGTTGCACCATTACACGTTTAACTCTACGTATAAACTAATTATTTACGGAAGCGTCTGGTCAGGAGTAACGGTTGGAGTAAAATAGCAGACTGAGTGAACTGCATCAATATGCTCTACTTTTACCCATTATATGATGCTGCTGACATTTACACTTATTTACATATTAAGAGAGAGAACAATATGTGAATAAACGTTAGGGATGCACCGATATGAACATTTTCATCAAATAAACACAATAATACAACATACAATTGCACAAAAGGCTGAAAACGAACAGCACGCATCTGAAGTGTCTCTGAAGGAATAATGCATTATTTATCAGCTTTAAGATATCGGCAACATTTTCTTATCGGGCCGATACTGATAACAGAAAAAATTAGCATTTATCGGCCGATACCGATATGGTGGCCGATATATCGTGCATCCCTAATAAACGTACTTGGTGTCTTTTTTTTAGCGCCTCTTCAACAACCCATCTACAGTGCGCCTCTCTGTACGCTTCGGTCCGTGTTGCGCATGTCGGATGAAATAATAAATAAATGGCATTTCTTATGTTTTTTTTCTTTCTTTCAGTATTTATTGATCCTTATTCATTTCAATTACAGTTTCTGAATGTTATTTACATATAAAAATAGCTTAGAGACGTAACGTTATTAATGTATCGTTTTTAATGGAAACTTGTTTTTACTGTTAGTATACGCGAGGCAAAAGAAGTTAGAATGAAGAATAAATTAAAATTCATAGCATTTAAACAAGTTCTGCTCGCTTATTTGAAGGTTTCTATTGGATGATTTAGGGTAAACGTCATATTATGCGACTACGCATTACTTTACGGAGTGCTTACGAACTACTGGTGCAACCAAATAATGTATAGATTTCGTTACAAACTAGCTAGTGGTTACTAAGCCTCTAGTGTGGACTTAACGTTCTAATTTAAGTAAGAACTTACGAATGGCTGGTGCAACCGTACCCTGAGAATAATTTTCCTTGATACACATCCATGTGGTGTGTTTGCTGTCAGCTGTTGAGAATCAGAGCTAGTGATGCCAGATTATTCACTCTTCTGATCGAAAAGGTCATACAGGATTGCAAAACAGTCTGAATTCAAACCTGGATTCAGTTTGACTCATTTGAACAGTAAATTCAGTTAGTATCAATATGTTAGTCTTAAGGTTATCTATAAGGCAGTGTGCTCCAAAACAGTGACAAAATTTGCATTTAGAAGATATAAGCATTCAAAACGTTTAGTTCGTCACTTCCTCCAAAACGGCTCAACTGATTTTTTTGACGTCACATCGTACTTCATCTTCTCATCAAATCTTCTGACCAATCAAACGCTGAAGCTGCGTCTGAGATCGGTCGCTTGTTCACGGTGTAGAATTTCTTGTACAGTAAATGGCACGTAGTGTACAATGTAGGCGATAGGGAACGATTCAGATAGTGTAAATATGCTTTGGGCAAATGAGGTCTGGTTTCACGTTGTCAACGCGAACCGCGGCAGCGCGCACAGTCTGATCCGGACTTTGGCTCCGGTCCAGAGACGCGATCACATTTTTAAAACTACACCACCTCAGCATGATTATGATCACTGTTTTGTTTTACTAAGAGTTTCATATTGAATCTAGGGGGTAATCTATTAGACTGTGGCTGTCAAATGTGGCTTTACCGAGCTCAACGGCTCTGACCCGTGCCGAAATAAACAAAATGCTATTGGCTAATTTAAAAAGGGGGCGGGGCTGCTCGATATGTCCCACCCTGTCTTCCTGCTTCAGTTGAAATTACGCCACCGCATAGAATAACGCTGCGTGTTTCAAGGCACTACACATTGCAACACTTTAAGTTGCAATAGCTAAGAATACATTTTTGTTTTATGCCAAAAATCATTAGGATATTAAGTAAAGATCATGTTCCATGAAGATATTTGGTAAATTTCCTACCATAAATATATCAAGACATTGCTAAGGACTTTATTTGGGCAACTTTTTAAAGGCGATTTTCTTAATACTTTTTTTTTTTGCACCCTCAGATTCCAGATTTTCAAATAGTTGTATTTCGGCCAAATATTGTCCTATCCTAACAAACTATACATCAACAGAAAGCGTATTTCGATTCAGATGATGTATTTAGAAAAATTGACACTTAAGACTGGTTTTGTGGTCCAGGGTCACAAATAGTAACTGCATAGTTTATAAGAGATGAAAAGAGTGCTGGATGAGGTGATATTTAGGCTATTTACCTACAGTCCATTGTTATTTAACAAAACTTGCAAATGTCTACTATCATTTGTCAGCAGTGAAGTGTTTGTTTTTATTGCGCGTACAGATTATGAACTACTCCCTACTGCAGGGAAGAACAATTATTGTCTATATTAGGGCTGCATGATAAATCGAAATGGAATCAAGATCGCGATTCGACAGAAGCTGCGATTGTCATGCGTATCTTTCAGTGAAGCACGGTTCTGTGATCAGCAGTAAATCTCCATCCAAAGGCCAGAGGGCGCTCTCGCGCTGAAACTCCAAATACACCTCGCAGAAGAAATCCACTGCAGCTGAATAAACAGAAGATTCAACTGCTTTCATTGATTCAACGTGACTAATAAACACACGACTACGGCAATATACAGTTTATCTGAGTTATTATTATTATAATTTTCATTAAAATAAAGTATATTTATAATGCAATGCCTTTATCACTGCTTAAATACTACGAAATATGTTGCGTGCCTTATTCTGTGTAAGAAGCCACATCATCTCACAGAAGGATTTATTTCAAACACTCGACTGACGTTATGAAGTGAGTTTGGAGTAAAAATATATTATTAAATGTGGTATTTTCACATGCATTCTTTCAGATGGAGCAGCATTTACTTCACTGAGAAGCTATGCAAACAGCTGTCATTATCGCAAACGATTTCTTCGATTTCATAATCACGCAATAAAATCGTCAGCAAATTTTATTTTATTTTTTTTGCGTAACTTGTCCGTGAACTCTGTGTAGTAAATTCTGCTCCATCTGAAAGCACGTGATGATGATTTCCTGCTGATTACAGAACCGGCATTACTATCAAAATGCACATGACAATCGCATTCGATTAATCGTGCAGCCCTAATCCATATAGTGTCAAAATATGGGGACATTTTTTTAAAGGGAGGCCTGCTGAGGAAAGGCTAGAATCATTCCTGGACTGGAGTATTTTTGTGTGTGTGTTTGTGCGTTTGACTCTCAAATGATTTACAAGCTACATTATCAAATATTAATTGTATTGATTCTCCTCATTGGCTTGATGTTCTTGTCAAATGCTCATTTATTATACATTTGTATGTTCTTTGTAGAGTCATGTGTTTTTATTATACTGTTGTAAATAATGAAATCATTCTAGCGTTAAAACCTGATGTTTATCATTTCTTTGTGGAATTGAGGTTTCTCTAGTTTTCTTGAGCACAATTGAATAAATGAGGATAATCTTAATAGAATCTGTATTCATGCTGGCTGTAATTATTTTAAGATCTGCTGTTGAATGTATGCATGTGATATTGGCAGAATTAATGTCGTAATGCACACGAGCTGCACGGGTTGTTACTGCGTTCGGCTGTGTCACCATTAATCCCAAGCGCACATGAAGGTTAGTCTGCCCTTGTGGCTTTGATACATGTGCAGCCTGCTTGCTGCTCCTTTGCTCTCTACGTCAGCACTAGACCTGATGAGTAAGCCCATGCAGGTCCCAACTCAGTCTTACTGTTCTTCTGTGTCCTGAATGCACCAAAGTGTGCATCTTATAGTTTGTTTTTTTTCCGAAGATCTATTGAGACTTTGTCTGCATAATGAATTACAGCCAGCTGAAAGAGATGCTTTGTGATTATTTCTAAAGAACCTGGTTAAGATTGATAATTAGAGCCTAGAAGGCTTTTTAAATGCCTTTGTGTAATCCAAAAGAATGATCATGTAAAAATTATAAAATTTACAATAGGGTCCCGTTATTTGACGTTCGATGAAGGAATAGTTCACCCACAAATGAAAATGTACTCCTCCTCAGGCCATCCAAAATGTAGATGAGTTTGTTTCTTCATTAGAACAGATTTGGAGAGATTTTCCAATGCCGTCAGAATGAGAGTCCAAACAGCTGATAAAAACATCACGATAATCCACAAGTAATCCACGCCAATGTTATTTTTTTTTTAAGTGAACTATTCCTTTAATACATGTCATTTTTCTGCTTTTGAAAGAAAATGAGGTGATTGATGCTCATTCATAGTTTAGTTCATTACTTAGTGATTTAAACAATGTAGTGGTTTCTGTAATTACTTGAACCTGGAGATACATTATTAAAAAAAAATAGATATATACATTTGTGTGACGTGACATGTGGCCAAGTATGGTGACCCATACTTGGAATTAGTGCTCTGCATTTAACCCATCCAAAGTGCACACACACAGCAGTGAACACACACACACCGTGAACACACACACGGAGCAGTGGGCAGCCATTTATGCTGCGGCGCCCGGGGAGCAGTTGGAGGTTCGGTGCCTTGCTCAAAGGCACCTCAGTCGTGGTATTGAAGGTGGAGAATTGTCGCTATACATTCACTCCCCCCCACCTACAATCCCTGCTGGTATGAGACTCGAACCCACAACCTTTGGGTTACGAGTCCGACTCTCTAACCATTAGGCCACGACTTCCCCTATAGTGTATTAATTTAATCTGCTACAGTGCATTTATTGATGTGATATTATGCATGCATTGATGCAACTGTTCACCTATTGGATTTAGTTCAGATGCATTGCTTGGATGTTACATTTCATGTAGCTTTGTGCAGGTTGTTATCTGCAAGGCGTGCGAAAGCAATGTTAGTGCAGTCTTGTGGTTTGTGGCTAAATCACACTTTGTATTGTCCCTGGTGTCTTGATTGGTATGAGCGGATGTACAGGCTCCTGATTTCAGTTGTGTCTTGCTCGGTTTGCCAGATAAGTTTCATGAAATGTTGGCATAAACTTGAAGCTATTCTACTAGAATAGCTTACTTGCCAACGAGCTGGTTAGATGCGTCAGATTTGTTACTTTATACTGGCTTTGAAGAATTGGAAATCTTTGGGGATTTTTTTTTTTTTTTTTTTACAAGTAATACTGAAACTTCTGGCTACAACCAAATTATATGGTTTAAAAAAATGGGAATTTCCGAGAGTCATTTTCCTCATTTTTGTTCTTTAATCTTTGGTTTTCTTCATCAGTGACACACAATGCCGATAGTAGACAAGCTCAAAGAGGCCCTGAAGCCGGGCCGCAAGGACTCCAGCGACGAGGGCGACCTGAACAAGTTGCTGGCTTCATCTGCCAAGAAAGTGCTTCTGCAGAAGATCGAGTTTGAACCTGCCAGCAAAGGCTTCAGCTACCAGCTGGAGACCCTCAAGACAAAATACGTGATCCTGAATCCCAAAAACGATGGAGCAGCGGCACCGAGACAGACTGAACCTGCTCAGATTAAGAGACAAAGTAAGATCACCAACATTTCTGGAGGCTTACAGCCCTGAGAGCCACTGTGATGTTTTTCAGTTTGGTTTATAATTGTTAATAAGGATTTATATTTCCATAATTGTCATTAACAGTAAAAAGATTTAAACAATCATTAGATTCAGGCTAAAATCGTAATAGTTCTGCTCCTCTGGAAAAATAGTTTTATTGTTTTGATACTCTTGAAAAAGTTTTGAATCAAGTTAATTAATTTTTAAGTTTTAGAATTTTTTAAAGGGTTAGTTCACCCAAAAATGACAATTCTGTCATTAATTACTCACCCTCGTGTTGTTCCAAACCCGTAAGACCTTCGTTCATCTTCGGATCACAATTTAAGATATTTTTGATGAAGTCTGAGGTTCTCTCTGACCCTCCCATAGACAGCAAGGTAACTACCAGGTTCAAGGTCCAGAAAAGAACCGAGATGATCGACGCAGTAGTCCGTGTGACATCAGTGGTTCAACTGTAAAGTTACAAAGCTACGAGAATACTTTTTTGCATGAAGAAAACAAAAATAACGACTTTATTCCACATTTTCGTCTCTACTGCATCACTTGTGGACGCGCGTTCATGACAGTATCATGACGCGAGCGTGACGTGTGGCGGTTCTGACCCAGATCCGGTGTAATGACGTCATTAAGCCGGATCTGGGTCTGCGCCGCCACACGCTCACGTCATTTATGAAATATGTTTGGTTTCTGTCGAATTCGTATAGTTTTCTCCATTAAAATTGGCAAAAAAGCTGGCATGGTGTTAAAAATAACACCAAACGATAGTCCGGCTAAAGCAGTTGTAATATAATGTTATTGGATTCTAATATTTCTGGTCCTTTGAGAAAATGTTATGCTTTTGGTACCTTTACAAAGTTTTCAATTCAAGATAATTCACCTTTTAATTTTTATGAAAAACTTGGACATAAATACATTTAGTTTCTATCATGCATTTTTATTATGCATGTATGGTTTTTGTCATGAAAATTGGCCGAAAAGCTGGCGTGGTGTTTGGTAAAATTCCCATTGGTCGTTGGTTGCGTGAAATTCCTGACCAAATGGATTCCTATTGAAACGAATGGATTTTGCCTGGAAAAATTATCTTAATGATGGTAAATGTTACCACACCTTAATACTACACATGACGTAATATGGAGGACACCAAATACTATGTTGCAATCATTATAGGATTTAAAATGCGAGTAATTGGTATTTTTCTTTTCATAATTGCTCTCGTCTTTTCCGACAGTCTCCGAAAACCTGAGTGTTGGGCAGAGCGATGGGATCCCTGCTCCGCAGAAGATGCTCTTCCCTGGGAACAAGCTGTCCATGAAGTGGGAACGGGTGTATCGGGTTGGAGCCGGCCTCCACAACCTGGGCAACACCTGCTTCCTCAACTCTACTGTGCAGTGTCTGACCTACACCCCGCCGCTGGCCAACTACCTGCTCTCAAAGGAGCACAGCCGATCCTGTGAGAAAGAGCTTCAGCGAACATTACTCTAAGCTAGTGCACAGATGTGAATGCTTGGACAGTGTGTTGCACATATATTTATTTTGAAGAGAAAAAAAAAAATGCTAACATTGTAGAGGTAGCCAGTTTGTCCCATAGAATGTTTCCTGTCTGGATTTCACCACGAGTGCTGACGTAAAATCCCTCTTTTGTCTCCTTCAGGTCACCAATCTGGATTCTGCATGATTTGTGTAATGCAGAACCATATCATCCAAGCCTTCGCCAACACGGGCAATGCCATTAAACCTGTATCATTCATCCGAGATCTGAAAAGTAAGAGCTTCCTCTAATTTGTTCAAGCAAACATGCGGCACTTCCAAATGTCTTTTTAAGCTAAGAGATGACTTAGCCGTTACAGGAAGTGCTGCTGATGACTACTGCGTTGGTAGCCTCTGACTAAGTGTTGAGTCATGAGGTTCCCAGATGCTCATGGGAGTGTCCTTTCTGTTCATTATCACATCACTTATCCCTTTCTCTCTCCCTTTCCGCAATTATCCTCTGACATAACCGGACTTTTTTTCAAATCCTTCAGAAATTGCTCGCCATTTTCGATTTGGGAGCCAAGAGGATGCTCACGAGTTTCTGCGTTACACCATTGACGCCATGCAGAAAGCTAGCTTGAACGGATATCCCAAGTAAGACCACTACCGTAACTAAGTTACTGCAGAAACCCCAAGAGTTAGTTTTATTGGATCAGAGGAATAATGAGCCCTTCTGCTCACAGACTGGACAGACAGACACAGGCCACCACGCTGGTCCACCAGATTTTTGGGGGTTATCTGAGGTCTAGAGGTAAGCACAAATATCAAAGGTAAACGTGGTGCATTGAGATCCAAGACTGTGTTACCTAATAAAAGTGGGATGATTTTGCTGGCTAGAGGAATTAATCAATGTTATTGTTAATTTTGTGGTTACTATTGAGAGATATTAGCTATATGATCTCTGTAGATGGATAAATAATACACTGCCATTCAAAAGTTTGTGGTCGGAAAGATTTGTAAAAAACGTTTGCCTCGTATGTATCGTATGCCTTTATTGCATGCAATTTATTCCTGTGATGCAAAGCAGAATTTTTCAGCATCATCACTTAAAGGTCCCATATTGTCAAAACTGAAATTTCCTGGCTTTTTTTCACGATAACTGAGGTCTAGGGGCTATTTAACTACCATATAAGTTTCAAAACAGTCAGTCCACAGTAAAATGCACACGCCCTGCATAAAGTTCTAGCTATTTTTCACGAACCATTGTGACTTCCGTAAAAAGTTGATGTCAGAACTACACAGTCACCACCCTGAGCACCGCCCACTGTCCCACTCTTCTTTTGCCAAACCCTCAGACAACATCGCGTCCATGCCATTGCTGAGCAACAACAACACGGAAACATGTCGTAAAGGTTAACTTTAACCACGAAACCAGATCGGCCGACCTGTAATGTTACACCCTCTCTCAAAGGATGGGCGATCTGACAGGATTGTTACTCTGAGGTGGATCACGTCTAACCTGTATAGTAAAGACTAATTCACTGTGTCGTATCTAGTCATGATGAAGATGTATATACATTTCAATTTCAGCAGGCAACTATTTTTACAGCTACATAATTGTTCCAGCCACAATTAATCACAACAATGTATATACAATTACAAATGATTATATATCGTCAGTTTGTTGTTTTACACACATGCACACAGACATTATTATATACACGACATAGTCGTGAGATGCAAGAAACATAGACATATGCCAAGAAATCTGTAGATGTGCCCATAACAACAAAAGACAATACTTTATTGAACCTTTTCTGATAAGAAGTGTGCGCTGCAAACGTGAGCATTTTTGATGATCGTTTCTGTCCAGTCTGCTCGTTTTATCGCGTTTAACCACAGCTGTCGTTAGTTTTTTGTCTGGCAGTGGCAGCAGATATGCGATCAAATTTCTAATTTGAGGCTGTATTACGTCGAATCTAGCACCCAACATCACAACAAGATGATATTTTAAGCTCCTTATGTAGCTGAATTTGCGCTGGTTTAAATGGGCCGCATCCAGTTTCTCCGTTGTTTCGCTTCCTCCAGCTAGCGCTGTGACGTTGCTGACCCTAGTTACCTGTGGTTGGCCTGGCCATGCGTCACTCAGAAAGCAACAAGCCAATCAGAAAATAGGCTCATGAATCTTAATTAGACAGGCCAGACTCGACCTGTTCTCAGCAGAGCTCCTGAGAGAGGAGCTGTAAATTATATTGAGATGATTTTTGGTACTTATACCGCAAATATATATCCTTAAGGACATCAAAACCTAAAATAAAACTCCAGAAAGGTGTACAATATGGGACCTTTAATTCTTCAGTGTCACATGATCCTTTAGAAAGCATGCTGATTTGCTGCTCAAGAAACATTTATTTCTATCAATGTTGAAAATAGTTGTGCTGCTTCGTATTTTCTGGAAAGCATGAGATCTTTACATTGTTTCCTCTGATTTTGCAGTGAAGTGCTCTATTTGTAAAAGCGTGTCGGATACGTATGACCCATACCTGGACATCGCCGTGGAGATTCGGGTGAGAGTCTGACTTTGTTTTTCAGAGCCCTGCGGTTCAGTCACATCAGGATGATGGATGTCTCTTGCCTCAGACTGAAATCTCCTCTGAATAACATTAACTCCCTCTCTCTTTCCTTTTCAGCAAGCGGCCAACATCGTTCGTGCTCTGGAACTATTTGTCAAGCCTGATGTTTTGAGCGGCGAGAACGCCTACATGTGTGCCAAGTGAGTTGTACACCCAGAACCATGGGGTCTTCCTTAGCAGTTTGTACAATACCATCAAAACGTCTTCATGCAGGCCAGTCGAGTTTTTGATCCAGTAAGCAACCACCCAGAGCCACAGTTTGACATCAGTTGTTCATCGTATTCTTTTCTCGCTTTAGATGTAAGAAGAAAGTTCCAGCGACTAAGAGGTTCACAGTCCACAGAACATCGAATGTGCTGACGCTGTCGCTTAAACGTTTCGCCAACTTCAGTGGAGGAAAAATTACCAAGGTATCAGCCTATTCATTTCACTGACATGCAAACAGGCTTATAGCCTGTGATCAGCCCACTGATTGATGGTTTTCTGTTAGGATGTTGGCTACCCAGAGTTCCTGAACATTCGCCCGTACATGTCCCAGAGCACGGGCGATCCTGTGATGTATGGCCTCTATGCCGTCCTCGTGCACTCAGGGTACAGCTGCCATGCTGGACACTACTACTGCTACGTCAAGGTGAGCGCCATGTGATGGCTTTTAAATAAAACCCAGTTGTTTATTCATTTCAGATGTATTTATTTATTTGTATTTTTTTTAAAGCAGATCGTTTTATTTTCTGTAGAACATTATTACTATAGTCAGGTAGGGCTGCTCGATTATGGCAAAAATCATAATCACGATTATTTAACACGATTATGAGGGGGCCATGTGACCAAAACTTTATATGAGTGATTTATTTAAAGATAGTGATACATATCAAATATGTATTTCCTGTTAATAAGATTGCTATGACATCTACATTGTAGAGACCAGCGGAATTTCAAACAAACAAAAAGTCCTCAGAATTATTGAAAATAATTAAACTGTCAGTAATAAAAAAGCAAAGGACAAATATAACAGAATAAAAAGATACAAATGAAACAAGCTGTGCTTTGTTTTTGTATGCAAGTCTGAAGCAGTTTACAACCTACTACAGAAATTTATATCAAATGTAAAATAAAACGGCATAATCTTCACTGTAAGAATTAAACTTTTTTTTTTGTTTCTTATTAAAGCTACAAAAGTCCTTCACTCGAGCAGTGTGTGATTTTAATTTTTTTAATTTATTTTTTTTTGAATTTGTCTTTTGTTGTTTGATTAATATTAAGCACGCAGTCGCAGCAGGAAAATAGCCCGCTGTCACTTTAAGAGCCGCACGGATCCAATTTACCATTACGCGCATATTTTCATTCTCAACTCTTTACGTTCATTTATTACATGACCGACGAAGGTATACATGAATAATCACTAAGCGTCGCATTTTTGCGTGTATTTGACCGTTTAGGCGTGCACCTTGAGCTAAAAGATGACTTTACATGTCCATGTTCTGTTCCGTCTCTGAGCGCATCTTCCTGAGGAGCAGCGCAAGTTCTCTTTCACGCTTTTAAAAACATGAATACATATACTTCTATAAATCAAGCATGTCCCATTTTGCAAAAGTCATGTTACATGATTTTACTGATTTGCACGTGAAATTGGGCTTTTATGGAGGAACGAAAGCACAGCGCTGGAAAAGGGGGTGGAATGGGGCGCATTAATCGTTTTATCTCGATTATTGTATTTTCATAATCGTTGGAGGCCAAAATCGAAATGCTCATGGGATAATTGTTTAACAGCAGAGTTTCTGGTCAACCTCGTAGCTGAAAAATTAATGGGAAAAAATACTTTCAACCAAGGCTACTGCAAAAACGGGTACCGCTGCACTCTCTTGTTGGTTACTACTCTCTGGAATGCTTGATTCTGATTGGCTAATCACAGCATTGAGCGGTCAAGTCTTTTGTATAATGATTGTACATTTCACCATGGTCTGTGGCAACTTACCGCCAATACTTTCAAAGTCTTTCTGTTCCCACAACAACACAAATTAGAAGAGCTCATTGTAGATGATGCAACTCAAAACCACTGACTTCAGATTATGTTGGTATTTTAACATGGTGAGCGTAAGACCTTTGATAGATGGCAGTAAGTCAAAGTTAAAGCGAAAAACAATGGTCGGAAGATCAAGGAACCAGTAAGAGATCAAGATCTTGATGAGAGAACTTAAAAGTTGTTACTTCCTTTTGTCTTTTTCATGTTTAATTTGTATGGCTAATATTCTGATGCAAATGTTCTTTCATAGGCCAGTAATGGACAATGGTACCAGATGAATGACTCAATGGTGCATTCCAGTAACATCAAGGTTGTCCTTAATCAGCAGGCCTATGTCCTCTTTTACCTGAGGTAATATTCATGCTTTTTCATCTACGCTTCATATTGCAGTAGCCCAGTAGATAGGCCTGATTTTTACAGTCACATCTTTTCTGTGGTAGGATCCCTGAAAAGAAAAATACAGATGCTTCAAATACAAAGCAGAACATAGTGCACTCTGGGAGAACTAACATGACACCGGAGCAGCTGAAGAAAAGCACACTTAATGGACCTTTGTCTTCACCACAGGTTACAAAGGTAGGCACGTCTGACACAATCTGGAGATATGATATGAATAAAACCAAAGGAATTTGCCAAAAAAGTTGCACCTGAATATCAGCTTCACAGAATCAAAATTGTTTTACAAATTATATACATCACATTTTTTTATAAATTGTATAAGTATATAAAAAAACAACACTAGCAATAGTCGCATTTTATTAAATTTAGAAATGTGAAATAAATCCATTCAAACAAAATGTTTACAAACCTAATAAACATGCATTTTAGTTAACTTCACTTCACAAAAAATGTAACCGTATACAGAGCAAGAATAAAAAATGTAAATATAAAATAAATTATTTGCACTGAATATAAATATTTATTATGTAAACCAAGCCTAACAAATTTAAAGTGGAACTGAATTACCTGCATCTGGAAAAGTACAGATGTTTTGTAAAATTCCCCCTTTAGGTGGCTCTTATGGGGGGAGTTTTTTTACATTTAGGGGGGAGTTAGGGTATTTTTGTTTAATCATCCAACCTAAATGTTTCGTCACCCAGTGTAATTGTTTTTTACAATTTATAATGTTGATTCATATTTATATTGTGAGGAAGATACTAAAAAAGAACTTCGATTTCAAACTCTGAATTGAATTTATTTGAACAAAAAAAGACAAGAAAAGAGTTGGTAATGAAATGACAAGCAATGGCACAAACAAATACAATAACCAAATACAACAAAAATGAACTGCGCTTTAAGGTAGGTAGGTATAACCGTAATATTCAGGTACAGAAATACCACAGAAACTGAATAATCTATTTAACTTTAAAATAACACTGGTTGGTGGTCTTCAGTGTATAAATGAGCATTAATGACAGACAGCAGCAGGTTTATTTAGGTTGCTGTCTCTTTAAGAGCTCATGCACAGATCTAACTGTTACACAAGTTTTGTTTCTCAACAGTTTACATTCACTTAATAGCATATATACCGACAATGTTTTGTATAAAGCGACCGTTTATGTGAATATTCATCAAGACGGGCATTTTAACATAATTTTGTATCTATTTGGTCATTTACGCGCAATAAGGCGCAACACATCTTCATTCTGTAGTCGCGCGCACTCAGATGCGGCTCTTGGGTGTGAGCTCACAGAAAGCGGTCTCACAGAGAGCGCGCGGCTACTGAATTGAGCACTTGAATGTTTAAAATTGTAAGACTCAAAAGCACGTGCCATACATTCCGTCATCTGTCCCGAGCATCTTTCACGCTGAAATGTTTGCGGGAATTTATATTAATAAATTAAAATCCCGCATTATAAGCACAGAAACTGTGGGAATCCGTAGAATTATGTGCAATCCCACGCTGAATTTCGAGCCCTGAAAACATTTCTCTATGATTACACAGACCAGTATTTTGTAATTCACCAACAACTGAAAAACCATGAACGATACTTGAAAAACATTGTTATTTTGACAAGTAAATATTAGTGCTGTCAAACGATTAATCGCATCCAAAATAAAAGTTTTTGTTTACATATGTGTGTATTGTGTATATTTATTATGTATATATATATATATATATATATATATATATATATATATATATATATATATATATATATATATATATATATATATATATATATATATATATATATATATATATATATATATATATATATATATATATAAATACACACACATACAGCATATATTTTGAAAATATTTACATGCATTTACATGTATATATTTATATAATTTATATCATATATAAATAGATTTAATATATAAACGTAACATTTTTCTTAAAAATATACATGCGTGTGTGTTTATTTATATATATATATATACATAATAAATATGCACACACACACATACTATGTAAACAAACTTTTATTTTGGATGCGATTAATCGCGATTAATCGTTTGACAGCAATAGTAAATATATATCTGATATACAGTGTTTTCTACTTTACCACATTTAAGGATGCAAATATAGGGATTAAAAGTGAATGAATTTAGGTAAATAAACGTTATATAAATAAATCCCCTGCAAAGACTGAGGGTGAGACTTGAGTAAGGATTTGGGAAGAGAAATAACTTGTGGAAAAAGCATTCAAATTGTGGAAAAGTCAGGTGAGCAGCTCACAAAACAATACAAATCTGACATATGGCTTAATCCAAATTTATGGGCTGACGTATCTCTCTCATGTCGTATATATGTCGTAGTCGTATCTGGTGAGATATGGGTGGCCTCTTTTCACTTGTTGGATAATGTAGCATTTTTTTCAAAATGTCTTATTTTCCCTTCTAAAGAAGCTTGATCCCACTCATCTGAGAAAAATCCAGTCTGTGGATGGGGGTCTCGGTATTCCAGTAGCCAGGAACTTTTCAGGGGTCCAGTCGCCGAAGTTGTCTAATGGTACGGGGAACCCCCATGCCCCACCCAAGCCGCCCGGTGGACCCACACTGATCGAGGAGCCCTTTAAGAAAGTGAAGAAGCCAATACCTCAGCCTCAGTCCCGCAACGGCACTCCTGCTCCATCCAACGGCCTCCCCAAACCCAACACAGACCAGAGGAGCAACAGCGAGGCCCGCGGCCTGCCATCATCTACCTCACTCAAATCCCTGTCCGACACCTCCTCGGCGGACACCTCCTCTGAGTCTAAAGTAAGTCTCCGTGGACTTGTATATGCTCTTTAAGTGGTGGATCGGCAGTCATACAAGAGTCTGGGGTTATGATGACGTGGTATATTTGTTTAAAAAGAAAGTTTATCCCGGAATACCGAATTCAAGTCTGAAGATGATTCCCTTTATTTAGCTAACAATACAGATTCATTAAATATTCTAAATGAGTGCAGTTTGATGTGAGGCTAGGTGATAAACAATATCATATCGAGATTGCAAGACAATTTGTCGACGATGATCAGCTCTGAACATTTTTACTTGATATGGATTAATCTAACAGCATAAGTAAACAGCCAGTGCATGACGTTAATAAGTCTGCATGTTCTACGCTTATTCACTCAAACTTAAACACACGTGACACTCACTGTGTTTTCAGCATCTGCTGTCTCAGTATATGAGGACATGAGAGGCACTTCACAAGCTTTTTAACCTTTTGTTTGAGAAAAACTACCATCAAATACACAATACAAACCACCAAAATAAAAGTTTGGTTTAACTTGAAGAAATTATGACACAAATATATTACTCTTCTATGCTACAAAAATGTACTTCTCAAAGTAATAATAATAATATTATTAAGGAATATCATACAACTAAATAATTTTTTCATCCATGTGTTAATTTACACAGTTCTCTTATGTAGTGTCTTATTTGACTAATATTAATAATAATAATATAAAAGGAACGCTTTATTGTTCATTTGATATACATTTTAAAAGATTAAATTGTTTGTTTTCTTTCTTTCTTTTTTTTTATTTTATTTGACATTTTTGATCATAAAAGTCAGAATCCAGAAAAAAATTAAATGGAGAACACAGAATTGAAGGAAAAATAAAATGGATTTCATGAGCCCCTGAATTACAAGGTAGCTTACTCTGTGGCGTTTTATTGTGTTCAAACAAGTTACGTTTATATTCATTCTCAAGGCCTCACAAACATATGGAAAGCATTTATTTCCCCATTAATGGTAAATGAATATTGTGATAAATATCACTATCATATAACGTATGTGATAAACATTGATTAATATTTTTGGCCGTATCGTCCAGCCCTAGTTTGATGTTCACCTCTGATGTCATTTGTGTTTCTGCTCAGGAGTCTGTTGGCACGAGGAGCGCACCTGTTGGTGACGCCTCTAGAGTGATCGGTCCAGCGTCTCCAGCTAAGAGCACAGAGCGTGTGACCTCAGAGGAGCAGAAGGTGGTGAAACTCAAACCCCAGGCCCTCACCAACATCTCGTTAGAGCCCGTCAGCACCATGTCCCCCCCGCCCGCCAAACGACTCGCCCTGTCCGCCAAGAAGGTCAGTCCTACCAGCTCCATCCACCCTCGTTTCATCTGCTGCTGGTTTGTGTGTTCGCTTTCCCATGTTTGTCCACTTCATTCCTCATAGATGTACTGGTGTTGAAAAAGACTTCCTTTAAAACCTGGAGCTCTGAGATTTTGCTCACACTGGCCAATATTAATCCTGTAATAATAATGATGATAATACGTTTACTTCTTTCAGCTCATGTCTGTTTTGTCGGTTCGCAGTCTGCACTGCTGTCCTTTTTAAAAAAAAAAATTTGATCGGTCCAGCGTCTCCAGCTAAGAGCACAGAGCGTGTGACCTCAGAGGAGCAGAAGGTGGTGAAACTCAAACCCCAGGCCCTCACCAACATCTCGTTAGAGCCCGTCAGCACCATGTCCCCCCCGCCCGCCAAACGACTCGCCCTGTCCGCCAAGAAGGTCAGTCCTACCAGCTCCATCCACCCTCGTTTCATCTGCTGCTGGTTTGTGTGTTCGCTTTCCCATGTTTGTCCACTTCATTCCTCATAGATGTACTGGTGTTGAACAAGGCTTCCTTTAAAACCTGGAGCTCTGAGATTTTGCTCACACTGGCCGATATTAATCCTGTAATAATAATGATGATAATACATTTACTACTTTCAGCTCATGTCTGTTTTGTCGGTTCGCAGTCTGCACTGCTGTCCTTTTTAAAAAAAAAAATTTTTTTTTCCTAACAACTTCTAATTCTTCTCTGCTACACTTTCTTTTTTCCTTCCCCCTTCCTGCTTTTTTCTTTCTTTTTTTTCTGTTTGGTCTTGATTTCTTCCCCATATGGGTCCCTTTGTCATTGTCACGTTTCATGGCTATGTTTTTTTTTATTTTATATTTTTTTTAGACCACAAAGTTTTTATTTATGTCAATAACTGCAGGCCAGTCCCTGGCAGAGCCCGAGCAGCAGCACTGAGGCTCCGCCCCCTTCATCTCTTCATCTGTCCAGTGACCCCAAACACCACCTCAGCCGGGCCTCATCCCACCCGCACCACAGGTACTCCCTCGCTCTGAAGTTCAGAGCAGATTCACTTTAAGTTTGACTTTCCTTTTCAGTGTGTAAAATCAGTCATGAATCGAGTCTTCTGAATGCTTTACATCAGGGATCTCCAGCCCTGCTCTTGGAGATATACCGTCCTGCAGACTTCAGTTCAAACCCTTGATAATTACAACCTTGTTCAATCTTTTTTTTTTTGCCTTTAAAAGAGTGTTCCTAATTGGTTACTATTTGTTCCATTTCGGTTAGGATTTAGTTTATTCATGCATATCACTATAATCTTTAATTAAAAAGATTAAAATGATAGTTCACCAAAAATTTAAAAAGTAGGTCGCAATTTCCATTTCATGCTGACTTTAATGAAAGTCGGAAAAACTCCCACTGACTTGCATTAAAGTCATAGTGAAAGTGAAGTAGCGACAGATCTTTTCTACCATATTGTGATGTATATCAGATTGTAACAAAAAATTGTAAGTATGACATTTTTGATAAATTTGCAGACTTCAGTTCAAACCCTTGATAATTACAACCTTGTTCAATCTTTTTTTTTTGCCTTTAAAAGAGTGTTCCTAATTGGTTACTATTTGTTCCATTTCAGTTAGGATTTAGTTTATTCATGCATATCACTATAATCTTTAATTAAAAAGATTAAAATGATAGTTCACCAAAAATTGAAAAAGTAGGTCGCAATTTCCATTTCATGCTGACTTTAATGAAAGTCAGAAAAACTCCCACTGACTTGCATTAAAGTCATAGTGAAAGTGAAGTAGCGACAGATCTTTTCTACCATATTGTGATGTATATCAGATTGTAACAAAAAATTGTAAGTATGACATTTTTGATAAATGTAGGTCAAAAAAACGTTAAAACGTGCATGGATGAATTGTTTGCGATAAGATTGTTAACATGCTTTTAGAAAATAATTAGTGTGAATTTCATGCTGACTTGTGAAGTTACAAAAAGCAGAAATAAATTACTCCAAAAATAATTTATCTACAAAACAATATTTGATTGGAGCCCGTATGTTATGTTTGATCTAAATTACAGTAATTAAGTTAAATGATTTAAAGGACTAGTTCACATACAAAAGAAAAATTGTTCACCCTCATGTTGTTCCAAATCCATACGATGTTTGTTCTTCTGTGATTTAATAAACATCTATGAATATGAGTAAATTCAGTACAGTGGCAGTACATAGTGATGCTGTTTGACATCGCACTTAAAAGCTGTTGCTTTGATTTTTACAACCTGTTTTTTAAAGGGGTCATATAATGCTGCTAGAAAAGAACATTTTGTGTATTTGGTGTAATGAAATGTTTATGCGGTTTAAGGTTCAAAAAACAAATTTTTTTCCACATACTGTACATTGTTTCTCTTCTATGCCCCCCGTTCTGAAACGCGTAAATTTTTGCATCTGCATGTTTGGTTTGAACTGTTCTGGAACAGTGTTGTAAATACAACTTAAAGGGTTAGTTCACCCAAAAATTACTCGCCCTCAAGTCATCCTAGATGTATATGACTTTCTTCTTTCAGACGAATCCAGTCGGGAGTTATATTAAAAATTGTCTTTGATCTTTCAAGCTGTTTCATGGCACTCAGCGGGTGTTGCATGCATCAGTCCAAAAGCAGTTAAATAAAAAGCACCCATCCATAAAAAAGTGTCTCACATGGCTCCAGGGGGTGAACAAAGGCCTTCTGTAGCGAGTCGATGCGTTTTTGTAAGAAAAATATCCATATTCAAAACGTAATAATCACTTTAATCTAGCTTGCGCCAACAGGCCTACACGGAAGCAGCTCCAGGAGCATGACGTATGAGTTCAGCGTTGCGCATGCGCCGGTGAGTCTCGGGAAAACCAGCGTTCGTTAACAGGAGCAAACTACTTTAGCAAAGGAAAACCAGTCTCCTCTATATCGAAATACTCCGACATTCTTCTTTACAAATCCTCGTTTTGTACTTCTAATATGTAACTGTTGTTTTGTTTTGATCTCTCCCCTGCGCTTCTGCGTTCGTCACTTCTGAGCGGTGCATACGCAAAGCCGACCTCCATACGTCATCCGCCTGGAACTGCTTCCGTGTACAACTGTTGGCGCAAGCTACATTAAAGGGATTATTACGTTTTGAATATGGATATTTTTCTTACAAAAACGCATCGATTCGTTCGTTACAGGAGGCCTTTGTTCACCACCTGGAGCCATGTGAGATACTTTTTTTTTTATGGATGGGCACTTTTTATTTAACTTCTTTTGAACTTATGCATGCAACACCAGCCGAGTGGCATTAAACAGCTTGAAAGATCAAAGACAATTTTTAATATAACTCCGACTGGATTTGTCTGAAAGAAGAAAGTCATATACACCTAGGATGACATGAGGGTGAATAATTTATGGGCTAATTTTCATTTTTGGGTGAACTAACCCTTTAACCACTGATTTCTAGTTGTGTCCTCTTTTGGAAGACCAAACTTAAGTAGTTTCGCTTTCACAATGAAACACAGCGGCTCCACGACATGGCGGCGGCGGCAACAATACTACAGCGAGAATCAAAGTTACGCCGCCTTTCTTTGCGTGAACATTTGGGCGGTGTTATGCAAATCTTCCCACACAGTGATGTAGACATGTGGGGGCGTGTTTAAACGAGGCGTTTTAAGAGGGCATTGACGTGTCTTAACTTTTATAAAGAATATCTCTTTGGGTTTGAGAATTTAGTTTTTGCAACGTTAGTGATCTTATCTATTCACGAACAGCTTGTAACACTCCAAAGAGAAAGGACAACTTGAAATCACATCATATGACCCCTTTAAGGGATTTTGAGAGTAAAGTTGCGGTGTCTGCCATTTTCTTTCTTGAGATAAAAAAATCATAAAGGTTTGGAAAGACATGAGTTAATGATTATACAAATGTTCAGATATTATGTGTGAACCATCTCTTTATAACCTTGACAAACCCCTAAAAAGAGTTGTTGTTGTTTTTTTTGTGCTTCCGCAAAAACACATTATTATTATTAGGCATATGCAGGCAACACTTTTTTATAAAACTGATACATTTCCCAAATTGGTTGGTAGTGCCGCGACTGCAGAGAGACATATCATTATATCTGTTCTTATTTTACTATCGACTTGGTATCAAATTACATCTCGCATCTCTACTCCTAAAAATGAAAATGTTTGTCTTTTGCGCAGATTTTCAAATTCGGGAATTTCTGATTCTCATTCTCTCAACCTGCAATCTCCACCTCCGACTCGCCTTCCTAAAGAAAGTCCCCTTAAACGGCCCTCTTCCACTCTGGAGCTGCCTGCTCATGCTCTCTCTCCACAGAACAATGGCGTTAAGCCCCAGCCGCCCAGTACACCTAGACCAATCCAGAGCCAGAACCAGTCAGCCTCAACTACGGGACTACCCCAGGTGCTCACCAGTCCCACTCTAAAAAAGAAGAAAAAGAAACTAAAACGACGACATTTGGAAGTCGAGCAGGATGCCCCTACAGCCTCGCCCCCAGAAGAACCCAAGCCAAGTACTGAAATCAGGAAGAAGAAAAAAAAGAAGAGGAAGTGGGAACAAGAGGCCATTGGTCTTGAGGGACAGAGAGAGTGTGTACAGTCCCATTTTGAGCCCTATCAGGATGAGGACTGGTGTCTTGGAGAAACTTGGAGTATCATCTCAGAAGCCAAAGTAAAGGAGTTTGAGTCATCTAAAGTGGCAGAGAATTGTGAGACCAAACCTCAGTCAGTGCCTCCGATTGGCCAGCCAGAGACAGACCCCATCCCGAAGAAGAAAAAGAAGCACAAACTCACAGACCAGCTGGAAGAGCTCAGCAATGGAGTCACCGTTTCAAAGTGGTAAGTTGTTTGGTTTTTTTTATGCGTAAAGTCAGCACCAATATTAAAAAGTTACAATGGGTGCTAAATAAATGCATAATGTTAACCTTACAACTTCATTCAGTTTCACTGGCAAATGGCTTATTCTTTTCTTCCAGTGCTGTTGTAAAAGAGGTTGGCAGTGCAAATGCGATGACTGAATACCTTGGAGAGACCAAGAAGAAAAAGAAAAAGAGAAAACAAAAACACTTCAGAGAAGAGGAGGAGAGACCAGGGGATGAAGAACAACTTCAAGAGACCAATGGAGTCGAGTCTCCTCGTCAGATGAGCAATAAGGGCAAGCAGAAACTTGGTAAACCCAGCACAGGTATTATATACACAGAACATCCATAACTATTCACAACAAATTAGACTGAATTGTGTTCCAGTCAAATAAACTGTACAGCAGAGTTTATGGCTTTGGGTGCAATTCTTGGTGTGTATCAAAATCTGACATCATAGCTCCGAGTTAAAACTTTTGGCATTTTCTGTTACAGCTGCAGTGATCGTTTGGGACAGCCAGGTTCAGGATGGCTACAAGCGTGACCAGAATCATCAAGAAGCAGATGGCGTGTCGAGGAAAGGCCCGTGCTCTGCTCCTATGGGCTGGGATGGCAAGAAAAGCTGTGATGTAGTCGAGGAGCTCCTCAAGAACTCCTCAGATAAAGCTTATGGAACTGAGGGTGAGTCAACTGAACCCTGTGCACAAAACCTCTCCGTTTCCTGGAGAAGTGGAGTTGCTCAAATTTAGGTTCAAGCAATTCTGAACTTGTTCTTTAGGCATTTCGAATGAAAATGGACAATTTCTGTTTCTGACAGAACACAATTGGTAGTTGAATTATTACATTTTACATTTTTTGGTTTACGGGAAGCACAGCTTTAAGAAGGAAAAGTGAATTAAGATTAACCATATGACTTCAAAAGCTCTTAAAGTTCTCACCCGCACCTAATATGCTTGAATTCTTACCGTGACCTGAAATATCGACAGTGTCTTGAATAATTTCATTCATCAGTCCTCAGTTGGGAAGGAGATCCGTCGGCCATCAGCAGAGACGCCATAGAGGATGCACGCTATGCCCAAAACCAGACTGTCATTGACGAGTGGGACAGGGAGTTTGACTGTGGAAAAGTGAGGACTTTAACTTTAACCTCTCATTATTTTTTCAAAATTCATTTTTTCACATGCGGTGCTTAAATTTATTAGACCATATTTATTGACTGTAATTGGGCATCTAAAACAATAGTATTGTGCTTTACAATTTTTTTCTGCCTTTCTTATAAAACAGTAAATTCTAAAAATGCATGGATTTCAAAAATAATTATATTTTAGCATTATAAATACTACTGTGACTAAAGAGCTTACACATACTGGTGGAATAACAATTACAGAAACATAAAAAATTATTTTGGTAATCACTAATAATAGGTGGTTTAGGGCGGCTATGGCCCACACCTTACACACACACACACACACACACACACACACACACACACACACACATATATTAGTGTTATATGCAAAGTCATTTAATTTCTTTCCTCTTGAATAGATAAAGAAAATGAAAAAATACAAAAAGGAGAAGAGGAGGAATGCAAATGTCTTCCAGAAGATCCAAGAGCATCGTAACTTGTGGTCAGTCACGCCGGGAGGCAGGAGGAGCAGTCTGGGGTTTCACCACTGAAAGGTACTTTGACACCTTTGTTTCCTCCCTAGTTCAAATAATAAACACTTGTTCTATGCCAGGTTACAGAAGTACTAAACAATTATCCATCCTTTCTAGCATACACCGAAATCAGACATTTAAACTTAATTTTTTTTTTCTTCAATAGATTTTTACTGTGTTTTTCTTCTAATAAACATTTGTAATACACTTGGTTAAAATATGGCTCATCCAGTGGCCTCTCAGCTTGGCCAGTCACACAAAATTATCACGTTTTGGTGACGCTAAAGACACCGGTAACGTCTACTGCATCACTGATGTCATCACACCAGTTTTAGAGGTCAAGAAAAGATTTGTGCTCCAAAATAAAGACTCCATCAGTAAATAATATGCAGGTTTAGGTGGTTTATAATTGAAAGGTCTTTATTCAGAGCAAATGAAATAAACAAGGCCTATCTCGATTATTAAATAGTTGTTTGAATGTGTTTGTGAAAAATTGTGATAAAATTCCAAAATACTGTGATAAAATTCCATTCACATTCTGCTGTTCAAATATTGAAATTTGTATTAAAAATAAGTGAACATGAAGTATCTTTTTCCTTTAGACTTCTGTTTTGTGAAGAACAGTATCAGTCAGCTTGAAATGAATTGGTGCATCCATAATTTTGTCATTTTTGGCTACATGTCCCTATTTAAAACACTCTTTACCTAAAGGGATAGTTCACCCAAAAATGGATTGTGACCATCACATTGTAGGTGATGTAGGTGACCGTTTCTTCAGTAGAACACAAATGAAGATGTTTAACTCGAACAGTTACAGTCTGTCAGTCATATAATGGAAGTGAATGGGAATCACGGCTTTGAGAGTCAAAAAAAACATACACAAACAAAACTAAATTAAACCCTGCGGCTCGTGACGATACATTGATGTGTAAAGACACGAAACGATCGGTCTGTGCAAGAAACTGAACAGTATTTATATCGTTTTTTTTACCAATGATTGCAATGATTCACGCAATGAAAAAATTCCGAACTGTCCTGAGCGTGTTCTCAACAGCCGGCGCGTGATGCGTCGTCGTCGTCTTGGTTTACGGCGGATCGCAGACTTGTAAGTGCATTACCACCACCTATCTCTCAACTCCAGCTGTCGAGAACGCGCTCAGGACAGTTTGGACATTGCGGTGAATCAAAGGTGTAAAAACGATATAAATACTGTTCAGTTTCTTGCACAGACCGATCGTTTCGAGTCTTTACGCATCAATGTATCGTCACGAGCCGCAGGGTTTGATTTGGTTTTGTTTGTGTATGTTTTTTTTGACTCTCAAAGCCGTGATTCCCATTCACCTCCATTATATGACTGACAGACTGCAACGGTTTGAGTTCAAAACCTTCGTCTGTGTTCTACTGAAGAAACAAAGTCACCTACATCTTGGATGCCCTGGGGGTAAGCAGATAAACATCACATTTTCATTTTTGGGTGAACTATCCCTTTAAACTTTTACAATTACTTTTTTTTATTTTTTTTTTTATTTATTTATTTTTTATCAATTGTAATTTGGAGAATAAAAATGCTCAGTTTTTATAACAAGCAGTTTCACTGTCTTATTGCAGTTTTGAAATGTGGATCCCGATCGCGTGTCCTGACCAGACCAGTTACTTTACTGGATCAGAAGCAGTCGGATTTGTCTCAGATTCTTCTGAAGAACACAAGTCCGCCCAGAGTGCAGCAGTACTGTGAAATAAAGCGATGGGGCTGAGGTCACCGCCTGAAATCCAAAATATACGCCAGTAATGGTGCCCTTATGATCTTAGGATCATAGGAAATAGGACAAACTGTAGTTTTGACCTTTGATCTCAATTATTCTTATTGTCATAAGAACAAATGTTTACCAGGGCCAGTTTTATCTTGGCAAGACTACACAACTTGGCGAGCATTGGGGCTGTAATGGCCAGTGAGGGAAAACTACATAATCTGGGGTCTTTTATTAGGAGGAGAATCCTCAAACTTTCTGAAAACAGGGCAAAATGAAGCCCCTTCCACCAACGTTTTTACACAATTAATCTGACTCGACAAATAACATCACTGTTCCCATTATGCGACTTTTGTTCACTAAATTATTACGCTTTTTCATATTTGAGCTGGATATTATTAGGCACTTATTTCCTGAATGGATCATCTAATTCCTTGCCTCTGTTGGAGGCAAGTTTTAGTTTGCCAGAGACCCATTGCAATACAGTTATTGCTTGTGATTGTATATTTTCAGGTCTTGCCTGCTTGAATACTAGCTCATCCTTCTCAAACTCACCTTTGCAGTGTTTTGTTTTTGTCCCATAGGAATACATACTGTACGCATTTTAAAGGGAAATGAGTCTCTTGTGACATTTTCTGCAGTTTCTATAAGGTATCTCTTCAGATTTCCCAACACGCCACAATTTTCAGTCAAACGGCGTGGTGTTTTATGCACAGTGCTGCATACAACAATGCAATACATTTCATCCATGTGAGCTAAAACATAAAAAAAAACATGGGCCTTAACACAAAACACTGTGTTTTTGCCAGGAGGGCTGAATTAGTGTGTCACATCCTGTATCTCTTTTCTACTCTCTATGCAACTACAGCAATCCCATGGATGCTCTGTGAAGAGGTCAGTCCAGGGAAAAACTAGACAAAAGCTGGTCCAAATATCATCTCTGTGAGCTGTAAACGCCCTGTCCGTTCCATGTCTGTTAGCAGTGCTATTATACATTGGGTCAAAATGATGTACATGCTTATCCACTGAAGAGCCATCATAGGAGTAAACCAATGTTGAAGCTTTCCTTTTTAGGACATTGTACAGTCTACCTTGTGCTCTCTGTGCCCCCTCCAGTCATTCTTGTTGTTAAAAACCATCCCCTCACGAATCCTTGGGTTTTAGAAAAGTTGCCTTGATTTAATTTTTATTGCAAATTATACTTATTAAAACGTGTTAAATGCACATTGCTAATGTATTTAAGGTTTGTGGAATTGTAAATGGGAAATTTTATTAACCAGTAGATGTCTTTTGAAAGGCTGCTCTGAAGTCTTGTTCAGGACCCAGATGCGTTCTGTAGGATGTCTGTATTCTCTTAGAAATTTACTTCAGATAGGTTATTTTCAAAAAGCCTGAAAGCTGAAGAACACAAGAGTGTCTTTGTCATATTTGAATCGATGGTTCTGTACCTAATACCTTTTCTGAAAAAGAGAAGTCATTCAGTATTGCAAATACATAAATATAGATATACTGGTGCAATAAAGTTGTGATTTTTGTGAAAGGCTTGTTTTCAGGTTTTCTTTTCCCCCGCATATTTTTAAGGTAATAAACAGAAAATGTGAGTTTGGATGTTTCTCACACAAAACTAGTGCATGGTTTCAGAAGATTATAGAGTTCAAGGTGCGCAGACTTCATGCAAGAGCCTTTAAAGTTCCATTGCACACATACTGTTGTTGGTTAACAAATTAAACTACATTTGAATAAAAGTCCTTTTGTTGAAAAATAGTGTAAATCACTTTCAAACTATGAATATCCCACTATGTGTTTAGATTATTTTAATGGTGGATTTTCTGGGTCTGAAACAAGGGTATTATATGTAAATGTATGTATTATGTATATGTGTGTTTGTATATGTATGCATGTATGAGTGTGTGCAGAGCACACAAGAGCTAGAATTTATTATAATGCAGTTCAACTATTTGCAAACAATGTTCTTTTTGTTTTATATGCACACATTCACTCTTAATATGCAGAAAACGGTTTCAGTAATGTTTTGTCATGTTTGAAAGAATTACATTTTCATTTGAAAATCAAAATGGCAACATTTGACAAAACATTGGAGTAGTTTGTCACTAAGTTACTGTCATTCTTTTAACATTTCTATTGTAAAACAGTTGACATAGGCTTATTAAATGTTTAGCTAGCTTAAATGTTACCGTGAACACTTTCACCGTTAAAACTGAAGCTCCGTGCTGGAACGTTTGCCCGCTGAGGTGGACCAGCCTAAAAATGTAACGTTTTACAATTTTGTCATCCAAGATCATCTTTTTGGGAGCTTTTTGATTCGGCCTGGACTTGGACTTGAATGAGCTGGACTTGAGTCAGAGTCTGGTCTTAAGTCTGTCTCAGGTCCGAGTGGAAGACCAGGGCCCGTATTTATCAAGCTTCTCGAAGTGCCATTTTAATCTTAAGTGCTGAGAATTCATTACATTTACTCCTACTTTCAAACTTAAGTATAAAAGCAAGTTATCACATTTCTTAAAGCTAAGAATCACTCTTACTCTCCCAGTTATTTAAGACCGCTCGAGAGGTCTCTCAAGTGGTTAGGAGTTGCCAGTAGGGGCTTGTGATGGCGCTGAGGAGACAGAGACGTGCGCAAATCTTTCAGGAGAGGAAGAATGTTCTTGAAATGTTTGACGACGAGCAGTTAATAAAACAGTTACATTTCGTCAGTTATTCAAACAGAAACGAGCAAATAATATTTACATTACCAAAGAACATCATAACTGACTTCAGTCTAACGCGAGTCTTGTATGCTCTTTAAAAATACTCCCGTTATAATCAGTGAAGCTACCTACACTGTATCATGAATAAATCTCTTACCCCTTATTTACACTGCACACGTCTGCGGCGCGTTACGGCTCGGACACCGGAGCTGATCCCGGCTACTCGCCAGCAGCGCTGCAGCAAGTTTCTGAAGCGGCTCTCTGCGCTGCATCACTAAAGATAGGCGCCTATATTTTTGACAGATAATAATAATAATCGTCTTGCTGTCGTCAAAGAAATCAGCAACAGGCGATATCTCTGATTATCGTCGATACACGATACTATCGTCTACCGGCACAACCCTAAATTGAAGGTTGTGATGACGATTCGTTTCCTTACCATAATGTATTCTTTTGAAAATTCTTTGTCAAATGTGTGTTGCATGTAAACTCCTATTAGGAATTGAACCATTCAATGTGAATTTATCTGAGAATATTCTTAAATAAGTAAATCTATTCAGTGATTGGTCCATGCGTATTTCGTCATCCAAAATCCCCGTTTGTGGCACAGCAAAGTGTTGTGAATCAACTCTAAGACTGACACAAGATTTAGACCAGGGGTGTCCAAACTCGGTCCTGGAGGGTCGGTGTCCAGAAGAGTCCAACCCCAATTAAACACACCTGAACCAGATAATCAAGCTCTCACTAGGCATATTAGAAACTTAAAGGCAGGTGTGTTGAGGCAAGTTGGAGCTAAACTCTGCTGGACAGCGGCCCTCCAGGACCGAGTTTGGGCAGCCCTGATTTAGACCTACACTTCGCTTAAATTACGACTGAGATGCTTGATAGCTAACTTTTAAGCGCAGCTTTGAGCCAAAAAGTTTTTTTTTACACTTAGGTCAATTCTTAGCAACATTCTTGAGAGTAATTCTCAGAGGCTTGATAAATACGGGCCAATATTTATAAGAGTATCAGGACCGAGCAGGGGGGTATTCCAAAAAGCAGGTTATGTGATATACCTGGGTATGTTTGAGGATACGCGAGCGGATAACCTCAGCTTTCGGTTCCAAAATCGGAGGTTACTTTCAGGGTATGTAAGTAGCCATAGTAACTTGCTCTCTGGAGATAACCTGCTCCGAAGCGGATTATGTTCCAGGGTTAGTTCACTTAAGCACACGTGTGATCTACTGACGAGCCTTCATTATATAATATTGCAATATGTAATATATTTGTATGATATGTTAATGATGAAGCGCTAATATAAGAAATAAGGTAATATATTATTCTAATATGGTTATATTTATTTTATTGGCATATTCAGTGGTGTGAAAAAGTGTTGGCCCCCTTCCTGATTTCTTTGGTCCTATTTAAGAGATTTCTTGATTGCGAACAGGTGTGGCAGTAATCAGACCTGGGTGAGGCTAGAGAAACTGAACTCAGGTGTGATAAACCACAGTTTTAACAGGGGGGCAAACACTTCTTCACACAGGGCCATGTAGTTTTGGATTTTGTTTTCCCTTAATAATAAAAACCATCATTTAAAAACTGCATGTTGTGTTATCTTTGACTAATATTTAAATTAGTTTGATCTGAAACATTAAAGTGTGAGAAACATTAAAAAAAAAAAGAAATCAGGAAGGGGGCCAACACTTTCTCACACCACTGTATAACAGTTATCTGTATAAATTATAAAACACTATGACAAGGTAATATTTAATTTATTATATGTATTTATTGCATTTTATGTTATCATCTCACACATGGATCGGCATTTTCTATAATGTCTAAATTCTAAATCAAAATACATATCTGCTATGACTTAATATACTTTAATTAGCATTAAACAAATAATATCATTCATATTCTCAAGGATTAAAGATTAAACGGACAAAAATAAAAATGATTGCACAACCATCAATTAGGTGGCGATATGCACTAAGCATGTAAACGACCATTGAACAAAAGAAGAAAGAAACGGCATGGTGCGCTTTTTCTTAGCGTCCGTTTCCATAGTGACTCATCGATTCGTGGCTCTGTTGAGAATGTCTTGCGTCTTAACCAGGATTATACTTGGAGTTGAATGAACTTACTCCCGGATGCGTTTTTGTAACCACATACCTCGAGTAAGCAAGGTTTGGGGTTAATCAATCGAAAGTTCAGGGTTTAGCTGACGGTAAGTTAACCGTGCTTTCTGGAATACACCCTTGGTCTTGACTAGTCATAGAAAATATGGTCTTGGACTCAGATTTGAGTCAGAGTCCAGTCTTGTCCAGACTCGAGTACTACAACACTGCTACAAAATAGTTGCATTACCTTATAGTAATTATTTCATAAGCTGATTTCTTAAATGTCAACATTACTGTCAGATAGTCCTATAGAACATACAAAACAGCTTTCTCTTGACCATGTGATCAGCATGCAGGGATCTTATCAGAAAGTGCCTGGCTTGTAAAGCAACCGACAGGCTGACTATAGAGGAGGTTTTACAGTATCAGTGGTTCACAGAAATGGTTCGCTTTGAAACTGTTTAATCGAAGAGAAAGAATGAAGGTGTCAGGACTGAAGCAGAAAAGAAACCAGCTGCACGTGACCTCAGATTTCATTGACACCATCAAAACCAGGAGTCAGAGCACAGCTTTCTCAATTACAGGTAATGTTGTTCAAGATATTAATTTGATTTGAATCATACGGCCATGGCACAGAAGATGCTTTTGAATGTGGTGTCTGCTGAAAAGACATGATCACAACAAGATCAATGAAGTTGTGGTGCCTGACCTTTTGGAAATTCTAGAAGATGAAGACAAGACGCAAATTAATAAGCAAAAAGTCAGTCCCTGCTCCCCTCACGAATCAAGGCATTGGCAGGCCTTTACCAAATTATTTATGCCGCGCTGCACAGATGCACTGTTTTCGTTCAAATCAAAGCGTAAATACACGTAGAAAACGTATCCTTGTGTCGCGACAGAAGAGCGTACGCTGCTTACGTTCAGCGGATATTCTCCAAAATGGTGATGCGGAGAGACACAGAGGAGACGAATTGTTGAATAAAGTCGTTATATTTGTTTTCTTCGCATACAAAAAGTATTCTCGTCGCTTCATAACGTTACAGTTGAACCACTGATGGCAGATGGACTATTTTGACGATGTCTTTCATGCTTTTCTGGGCCTTGACAGTGTTATTTACTTGGCAGTCAATGGGACAGTCACAAGCCTCCTGGATTTCATCCAAAATATCTAGAATTGTGTTCCGAAGACGAACTAATCTTTTACGGGTTTGGAAAGTTCCCTTTGCGTGTGAAACTCTTTCCGCAGTCGTGACACGTCAAAGGGCTTTTCTTTTTAGGAATTTTCATGTGACACAAAAGGTTTCCGTTAGTGTAAAACTCTGAGCCTGAGGGCAGGTGAAGGATTTTTTGACTTGTGTTCTGTTTTGTGAGGATTATTTTTATTCTGGAAGTCACTAAGAGATTGTTCTCCATTTATGAAATAATGAGGCGTCTGATACTGATGTTTCTCCTCCACTTCATTCAGCTCTTCACGTTCTACTTTCACCACTTTTATGTCTAAAATGAACAGAATTATGATAATGTCATATTAAGAGGGACGATATGAAACAAAAGGAAACGTTCTCTTTTTATAGTGAAAACTACAGG